CTGCCGCCGTGGCCGTCCCGCTGCCGACTCGCCGCCCGCCGGCAGCCGCTTGCTGTTGGACGTTGCAGCCGCGCCGCCACCTCTGCCGCCGCAGTCGCCGCCCCCGCCGCCCCCGCCGCCGCCGCCACCGCCGCCACCGCCACCGCCGCAGCCGCCGCAGCCGCTGCCCCCGCCGCAGCCGCCGCAGCCGCCGCCGCCGCCGCCAACATGTGTACTTTGTTACCTAACAACTCTTGCTGATAGGTTTCTAGTGGTGTCAAGAGAAAGCATCTTGACGCCCCAGGGGCTCTGGGCGGGACCCGGACAAGGGATCCGGCAGGATCCGGCAGCCACAGGAACCCTTAGGAATCCTTAGGAATCCATTCCCAGAACACCATTCCCAGATGCCCGGAGCCAACTGTAAGCCATTTCCTGTTCTTCGTGTTCCCAGAACACCATTCCCAGGCCACATTTTGAATGCCCGACGCCAACTGTAGGCCACTTCGTGTTCTTCGCCTTCCCAGAACACCATTCCCAGGCCACAGTTTGAATGCCCGGAGCCAACTGTAGGCCACGTCGTGTTCTTCGCCTTCCCAGAACACCATTCCCAGGCCACATTTTGAACGCCCGGAGCCAATTGTAGGCCACTTCGTGTTCTTCTTCCCAGAACACCATTCCCAGGCCACATTTTGAATGCCTGGAGCCAGTTGTAGGCCACTTCGTGTTCTTCGTGCTCCCGGAACACCATTCTTGAGGCAGGCTGAGGCTGAGGCAGGCTGAGACTGAGGCTGAGGCAGGCTGAGGCTGAGGCTGAGGCTGAGGCTGAGGCTGATGCAGGCTGAGGCTGAGAGGCTGACGCTGAGGCTGAGGCAGGCTGAGACTGAGGCTGAGGCCGAGGCAGGCTGAGGCTGAGGCTGAGGCAAGCCGAGGCAGGCTGAGGCTGAGGCTGAAGCTGAGGCAGGCTGAGGCAGGCTGAGGCTGAGGCAGGCTGAGGCTGAGGCTGAGGCAGGCTGAGGCTGAGGCTGAGGCAGGCTGAGGCTGAGGCAGGCTGATGCATCCAGGCTGAGGCCGAGGCAAGCCGAGGCAGGCTGAGGCTGAGGCTGATGCTGAGGCAGGCTGAGGCTGAGACAGGCTGAGGCTGAGGCTAAGGCAGCCTGAGGCTGAGGCAGGCTGAGGCTGAGGCCGAGGCAGGCTCAGGAGGAGGCTGAGGCAGGCTGAGGCTGAGGCAGGCTGAGGCTGAGGCTGACGCAGGCTGAAGCTGAGAGGCTGACGCTGAGGCTGAGGCAGGCTGAGGCTGAGGCTGCGGCCGAGGCAGGCTGAGGCTGAGGCTGAGGCAAGCCGAGGCAGGCTGAGGCTGAGGCTGAAGCTGAGGCAGGCTGAGGCTGAGGCTAAGGCCGCGGCTGAGGCTGAGGCAAGCTGCGGCTGAGGCAGGCTGAGGCTGAGGCTGATGCAGGCTGACGCTGAGGCAGGCTGATACTGAGGCTGAGGCAGGCTGAGGCTGAGGCTGAGGCTGATGCAGGCTGAGGCTGAGAGGCTGACGCTGAGGCTGAGGCAGGCTGAGGCTGAGGCAAGCCGAGGCAGGCTGAGGCTGAGGCTGAGGCAAGCCGAGGCAGGCTGAGGCTGAGGCTGAAGCTGACGCAGGCTGAGGCTGAGGCGGAGGCTGTGTCTGAGGCTGAGGCAAGCTGCGGCTGAGACAGGCTGAGGCTGAGGCAGGCTGAGGCTGAGGCTGAGGCTGAGGCAGGCCAATGCTGAGGCTGAGGCAGGCTGAGGCTGATGCTGAGGCCCAGGCAGGCTGAGGCTGAGGCCGAGGCAAGCCGAGGCAGGCTGAGGCTGAGGCTGAGGCTGATGCTGAGGCAGGCTGAGGCTGGGACAGGCTGAGGCTGAGGCTGAGGCAGGCTGAGGCTGAGGCAGGCTGAGGCTAAGGCCGAGGCAGGCGAATCCTTCGGAATCCTTCGGATTCCGTAGGAATCCTTGGGAACCCCTAGGAATCCTTAGGAATCAGGATTCCTAAGGTTTCCTAAGGATGCCTATGGATTCCTAAGGATGCCTTAAGGATCCCTAGGAATCCTTAGGATTCCATTGGATCCTAAGGCCGTTGCCACTGCGACTGTCATTGCGAATGCGATTGCGACTGCGAGAACAGCAGAATTCTACACGTGGATTCTCACCTGAATCTTAAGGGGAATGATTCCAGATATGCTTATACACATCGCTGTTAGGTTGCTTTGCCGGGGTAATATTGTTTTCGACAAGGATGGTGGGGGGAGGCCGCATCGGGTTCTCTGCGCATGCTCCGAATTCTTTACGCTTCGCGTATCCCCACCAGCCCATCTCACAGCAGCAACTCTCGCGAAGCATGCCGACAGTCGTGTTTTTCAGGCGTGTGTCCGCTTGGCCCCGCATATCTCCCCTGTTCCTCCTGTCTCCCGCCTCCTTGTACATCCTCCTTGTGGGGGGAGCGGGAGAAGGACGAGGCGAAGGAGGAGGGAGAGAAAGCGCTCCTCGTGGTTTGAGTCGTTTGGGGTTTCTCGTCCTGGTCTGAGTCGTTCGGGCCCTTCTTCCTGGTGTGAGTCGTTCGGGCTCTTCGTGGTGTGAGTCGTTCGGGCTCTTCGTCCTGGTGTGAGTCGTTCGGGCTTCTCGTGGTGTGAGTTGTTCGGGCCCCTCGTCCTGGTGTGAGTCGTTCGGGCCCTCCTCCTGGTGTGACTCGTTCGGGCTCCTCGTGGTGTGAGTCGTTCGGGGCCCTCGTCGTGGTGTGAGTCGTTCGGGCTCCTCGTGGTGTGAGTCGTTCGGGCGCCGCGTCCTGGTGTGAGTCGTTCGGGCCCCTCCTTCTGGTGTGAGTCGTTCGGGCTCTTCGTGGTGTGAGTCGTTCGGGCCCCTCGTCCTGATGTGAGTCGTTCGGGCTCCTCGTGGGGCCTCTTGGGGGCCTCTTGGAGCCTCGTGGGGCCTCTTGGGGGCCTCTTGGGGGCCTCTTGGGGCGTCGTGGGCCTCTTGGGGGCTTCTTGGGGGCCTCTTGGGGGCCTTTGGGGCCTCTTGGGGGCCTCTTGGGGGCCTCTTGGGGGCCTCTTGGGGGCCTCTTGGGGCCGCTTGGGGGCCTCTGGGGGGCCTCTTGGAGGCCTCTTGGGAGCCTCCTGGGGGCCTCTTGGGGCCATCTTGGGGCCTCTTGCGACCTCCGCAGAAGCGCAAAGGAGAGCTGCCCCCTGAGAAGGACAAAATGAGCCCAAAACCTTCGTAAAATCAATGATTTTGCTATGAGGGAAGATGAGCGCGGCCCCCTCAGAAGGCCAAAATGGGGCCAAAACCATGGTAAAATCAATGATTTTTGCTTCAAAGACGAGCAGAGGGACCAAATTCCCCCCCCCCCCCGGGGCCAGAATCCTCGTGAAGGTCGTCGTTTTTTGGCCCTCCGAGGAGTCGAAATGGACCCCCCCGCCACCACTCGGGAATCCCTGTCCAGGTCCAGGGGGAGGGGGTAGGGGGAGGGGTAAAACCCCTCCCCAAGGGGAAGAAGGGGGTGAGGGACAGAGAAACGCTCCAAACCACGCACGCCCAAAGGGCGGGTGGCAGGCCACGAAGCGTGGTAAAGGGTGCCACCACGCGGGCGATGCCATTGGGCTCAAGGATACCGCCCCCTGTGGGGCGATCGGAAACGAGTGAGCGAGCGTGCCGACCCGTCGCGGGGCCGCATTTTGCGATGCGCCCCACTGGGGCCTTCGGTGGAGTTCCTTATAGGGGCCACCAAACGTGTGAGTGGTGTGCCGATATGGGCGGGGGGGGGGCGCATGCGAACGTCGCCGCGAAGCGCGTGAGAGGTGTGCCGAAACGGGAGAACGTCGCCGCTGGGGCGTTCGCTGGAGCTCCCTGTGGGGCCACGAAGCGCGGTATTGCGTGGAGTGGTCGCGTGCGAACGTCGCCAATGGGCATTCGGTGGAATTTCCGATGGGGCCACGCAGCGTTGTATTGGGTGGGGCGGTCGCATGCGAACGTCGCGTCGGTGGAGCTCCCTGTGGGGCTTCGCAGCGCCGTGCCAGGTGGGGCGGGCGCACTCGAACGTCGCGACTGGGGCCTTCGGTGGAGCTCCATATGGGGCCACGGCATATCATACTGGGTGGGGCGGACGCATGCGAACGGGCTTCCAATGGGGCCACGAAGCGTTGTATTGGGTGGGCGGACGCATGCGAAAATCGATTTTGGGGTCTTCGGTGGAGCTCCCTTTGGAGCGAAGAAGCGGTGCATTGGGTGGGGCTGGCGCATGCGAGCGCCGCCGCTGGGGCCGTCAGTGGAGCTCGCAATGGGGCCTCGAAGCGCTGTGCTGGTTGGGGCGGACGCATGCGAACTTCGCCACTGGGGCCTTCGGAGGAACTCCCCATGGGGCCATGGAGCGCCGTACTGGGTGGGGCGAGCGCATGTGAACGTTGCCGCCGCTGGGGCCTTCGGTGGAGCTCCCTGCGGGGCCACGAAGCGCTGTGCCGGTTGGGGCGGACGCATGCGAGCGCCGCCGCTGTGGCCTTAGGTGCAGCTCCCTATGGGGCCACGAAGTGCTGTTTTGGGTCGGGCTGGCGCATGCGAGCGTCACCACTTGGGTCTTCAGTGGAGCTCCCAATGGGGCCTCGAAGCGCTGTGCCGGGTGGGACGGACGCATGCGAACTTCGCCACTGGGGCCTTCGGTGGAGCTCCCTGCGGGGCCACGAAGCGCTGTGCTGGTTGGGGCGGACGCATGCGAACGCCGCTGCCGTGGCCTCAGGTGGAGCTTTCATGTTGAGCCACGAAGCGCCTGTACGGGTGGGGCGGAAGCTGCGAAACATAGCCGCTGGGGCCTTCGGTGGAGCTCCCTATGGGGCAAAGCGCTGTGCTGGGTGGGGCGGGCGCATGCGAACGCCGCCGCTGTGGCCTTAGGTGCAGCTCCCTATGGGGCCCCAAGGTGCTGTATTGGGTGGGGCGGGCGCATGCGGACGTCGCCACTGGGGCCTTCGGTGGAACTCCCTATGGGGCCAGGAAGCGCTGTGCTGGGTGGGGCGGGCGCATGCGGACGTCGCCACTGGGGCATTCGGTGGAGCTTTCTACGCGCTGTACTAGGTGGGGCGGACGCGTGCCAGCGTCGCCGCTGGGTCCGTCGGTGGAGCCCATGTGGGGCCACGAGGCGCTGTATGAGGTGGGGCGGGCGCGTGCGAACGCGTGAAGTCGTTACGGCACGGTGTGCAAGGCCCGTTTTTGTCTCAAGACGTTTTGGCCCGAGCCGATTCTGGACAATTTTTCCGAGGTGCCGAAGCAGTGAAGTTTCTCACGTCGGCATGGGCTCTCCGCGCGGCGCGGACGAGCACCAGCCGCGCCACTGCTTTGGCCGCTTCACCCTCGAGACCCAAGATCAGAGCCCCCCCTCGGACGACTGGCTCTTCGGCAGCCCCGTAGACCTCGGCGCACACCCGAGGCGCGCCGCGCTGGAGCAGGCGAGGCGCGCGGCGCTGGAGCGGGCTGCGGCGGCGCCGACGCAGCGCGTGCGGCGGCCGCCAGGGCTGCGCAGCGCGGCCGCGACCGGCCACGGCGCCGAGGCCGGCGCGCCCGCGGGCGGCACCGGCGAGGCCAGCACGTCTTCCTCCCCGTCTGGCAGCGGCATGGCAGCCGTCGCGTCTGCGGCAGCTGAGCGCCAATGAGGCCGCGGCCACGCATGGGACATAGCCAGGCCCAGGGCAACGCGTGATGCCACGCCGAGGGCCGGCCTCGAGGCCTGGTGCCTAGGGCCTAGGGCCTGATCCTTCTCCTCTTCCTCCTCCTCATCTCTGCCCTCGAGCCTCCTCCCCGCCCCATGTCCTCCCCTTCCCCCGCCTCCTCCCTCCCCGGTCCCCATCTTACGCTCGCCCCCCCCCCCCCCTCTCCTCTTGCTTCCCCTTCTCTTGTTCCCCCCCTCATCGTGCCGCCCCCTCCTCCTCCATCGTTAGTCCGCAAACTTTCGTGAGCACGTACTCGTTGTTTCAAATACCTGCGTCAAGCAGGACAATACTTTTATATATACTACAATGAGTAGTGCTACAATCAGTAGGCGATGCCCGCGTTTAGCAGGACAGACCTATAATTCGAGCATTCTCGCATTCTCCGACTTGGTTACGCTTCAGCGGATGTTCCTTGATAACCGCAGGCGCAGTTTCTCCTCCCGATGCGCTCTGGATTGCGCGCCCGATAGAGGTAGATTCGAGCCCCCGGCTGTGCGCCAGCAGTACGTAGGTTTGCTCCCTTCTTGCGCTGGCGCGCCCGGAATCAAAGGCTTGAGCTCTTGGCGGCGCGGCCAAAAATAGCGCGTAAGAACCGTACCTACTCGTCGTTGACATGTGCCTCGGAGAGCTTCTTGGGGCCTCTTGGGGGTCTCTGGGGAGCCTCTTGGAGGCCTCTTGGGCGCCTGTTTGGGCCTCTTGGGGCCGTCTGGGCGCCTTTGGGGGCTCTCTTGGGACGCTCTTGGGAGCCTTGGAAGCGCTCTTGGAGTCCTCCCTCCTGGGCCATCTTGGAGCCATCGTGAGGCCTCAGATGGCCATTGGAAGCGAAAAGGCGAGAAAACCACAAACATTGATCCGCCAAAGGTTTTGAAAGGATTTTGGCCTCTTCGGGGCCTCCTGGGGGAGCTCTATGGCCACTTGGAGCCGTCTTGGAGCGGTCTTGGGGCCTCTTGGAGCATCGTGGGAGCCATCTTGAGGCATCTTGGGATATCTTGAGCCATATTGGAGGCCATCTTGGGCTCTCCCAGGCGCTCTTGGAGTCATCTTAAGCAGTGCCCCCCCCAGGAGGCTAAAATGTGGCCAAAGAGCGTCTTGGGTGCCTCTGGGGGGCCTCTTGGGGCCTCTAGGGGGTCTCTTGGGAGCATCTTGGGTTCATCCTGGGGGCCTCTTGGGGGCCTCTTGGGGCCTCCTGGCCACCTCTTGGGGCGCCCTTGGGGCGCCCTTGGGAGCCTTGGGAGCGCTCGTGGGGCCATCTCGGAGGAGATCGATCAAAGAAGGGGGGGTCTCAACTAGCACCGCGCCCCCAAGAAGCCAAAATGGGGCCAAAACTGGTGTAAAACCAATGGCTTTGTGGCATTGTCGCCGAGGCCTCTTGGAGCGTCTTGGGTGCCTCTGGGGAGCCTCTTGGGGCCTCTTGGGGGTCTCTTGGGAGCATCTTGGGTGCATCCTGGGGGCCTCTTGGGGGCCTCTTGGGGCCTCCTGGCCACCTCTTGGGGCGCCCTTGGGGCGCCCTTGGGAGCCTTGGGAGCGCTCGTGGGGCCATCTCGGATGAGATCGATCAAAGAAGGGGGGGTCTCAACTAGCACCGCGCCCCCAAGAAGCCAAAATGGGGCGAAAACCTGAGTGAAACCAATGAGTTCGGCTTCCTCGCCGAGGCCGTCATGGACGCCCTGACCGCTCGCGGAACACCCCGTCCAGGTCCAGGGGAAGGCGGTAGGGGGAGGGGTCAAGACGCCTTCCCGGCCCGCAAGCCGTCCCGCTCACTCACACCCGCCCTCCCAAAACATGCGCAGCACCCGAGCCTGGCCCGAGCCGCAGCATGTGCAGCAGTCGTCTTTGGATGGCCAGCTACTGGGGGCCAATCCGCCGTCGCCGCCGCCGCCGCCGCCGCCGCCGCCGCCGCCGCCCGCCGGCGCCGCCGGCGCAACGCCGCCGCCGCTGCCGCGCCGCCGACTGATGTCCGCCGCTGCCGCCGCCACCGCGCTGCCCGCCGCCGCCGCCGCAGCCGCTGCCGCCGCAGTCGCTGCCGCCACCGCTGCAGGCGCCGCCGCCGCCCCCGCCGCCGCCGCCGCCCCCGCCGCCGCCACCGCCGCATCCGCCGCAGCCGCTGCCCCCGCCGCAGCCGCCGCCAAGTGTAATTACCTAACAGCTCTTGCTGATAGGTTTCTAGTGGTCTCAAAAGAGAGCATCATGACTCCTCAGGGGGGTCTGGGCGGGACCCGGAACGGCTGCCGCCGAAGCCGAAATCGCTTGGGACATCCTCGCAAAATCGCTTTTGGTGCTCCCAGAACTCCATTCCCGGGCCACATTTTGGATGCCCGGAGCCAACTGTAGGCCACTTCGTGCTCTTCGACTTCCCAGAACTCCATTCCCGGGCAACATTTTGGATGCCCGGAGCCAACCGTAGGCCACTTCGTGCTCTTCGATTTCCCAGAATTCCATTCCCGGGCCACATTTTGGATGCCCGGAGCCAACTGTAGGCCACTTCGTGCTCTTCTATTTCCCAGAACTCCATTCCCGGGCCACATTTTGAATGCCCGGAGCCATCTGTAGGCCACTTCGTGCTCTTCGAGTTCCCAGAACTCCATTCCCGGGCCACATTTTGAATGCTGAGGCAGGCTGATGCTGAGGCTGAGGCAGGCTGAGGCTGAGGCAGACTGAGGCTGAGGCTGAAGCAGGATGCAGGCTGAGGCTGAGGCCGAAGCAGGCTGAGGTTGAGGCTGAGGCAGGCTGAGGCTGAGGCTGAGGCTGAGGCTGAGGCAGGCTGATGCTGATACAGGCTGAGGCTGAGGCCGAGGCTGGATGCAGGCTGAGGCTGAGGCAGGCTGAGGCTGAGGCCGAGGCTGAAGGCAGACTGAGGCTGAGGCTGAAGCAGGCTGAGGGAGAGGCTGAGGCAGGCTGAGGCTGAGGCTGAGGCAGGCTGAGGCTGAGGCAGGCTGAGGCTGAGGCGGACTGCGACTGCCGTTGCCGCTGCGACAATCATCGCGAATGCGACTTACGACTGCGAGAACAGCAGAATTCGACAACTGGATTTTCATTGAATCTTAAGGGGAATGCTTTTCAGATATGCTTCTACACATATCTGTAGGTGCTTTGCCGGATTATATCTGAGTTTTTCTGACAGGGTGGTGGGGGGAGGCCGCATCGTGTTCGCCTGCGCATGCTCCGGATTTGGAGGCAGAGTGTGTGCTGGATCGTTGTTGCCACGATTGCGGTGGCGCGAGTGTGTTTGCATGTTACCTAACAGCTCTTGCTGATAGGTTTCTAGTGGTTTCAAAAGAGAGCATCATGACTCCTCAGGGGGGTCTGGGCGGGACCCGGGGAGGCTGCCGCCGAAGCCGAAATCGCTTGGGACATCCTCGCAAAATCGCTCTTGGTGCTCCCAGAACTCCATTCCCGGGCCACATTTTGGATGCCCAGAGCCAACTGTAGGCCACTTCGTGCTCTTCGACTTCCCAGAACCCATTCCCGGGCCACATTTTGGATACCCGGAGCCAACTGTAGGCCACTTCGCGCTCTTGGACTTCCCAGAACACCATTCCTGGGCCACATTTTGAATGCCCGGAGCCAACTGTAAGCCACTTCGTGCTCTTCCACTTCCCAGAACTCCATTCCTGGGCATGATTTTTGAATTGCCCGAGCCACTGTAGGCCACTTCGTGTTCTCTAGTTCCCAGAAAAACTTTTCGTCTTTCTTTTTTTTTTTTCTTCACTCTGGGCCACATTTTGAATTGCTGAGGCAGGATGATGCTGCGGCCGAGGCAGGATGAGGCTGAGGCAGGCTGAGGCTGAGGCCGAGGGCTGAAGCACATGAGCTGAGCCTGAAGCAGACTGAGGTCTGGGACTGAGGCAGGGCTGAGGCTGAGGCTGAAGCAGGATGAGGCTGAGGCAGGCTGAGGCTGAGGCTCAGGCTGATGCAGGGTGAGGCTGAGGCAGGCTGAGGCTGAGGCCGAGGCTGAAGGCAGACTGAGGCTGAGGCTGAAGCAGGCTGAGGCTGAGGCTGAGGCAGGCTGAGGCTGATCTGAGGCAGGCTGAGGCTGAGGCAGGCTGAGGCTGAGGCTGTGACTGCGTACTGGCCGTTTGCCGCTGCGACAGTCATCGCGAATGCGACTACGACTGCGAGAACAGCAGAATTCTACAACTGGATTTTCATCTGAATCTTAAGGGGAATGCTTTCATATATGCTTCTACACATCGCTGTTAGGTTGCTTTGCCAGGATAGTTTGTTACAAGGGATGGTGGGGGGGTGCCCTCATTGGCTCGGGTTGGCTCCCAGTCGCCTTGGGAAGGGGGTGTTTACCAATAGGGAACAGTGATGAAGACGCCCTCCCCTCCCAACACATACGTAGCACTTGAGCTTGGCCCGAACCGCAGGCATATTCAGCAGTCGTCCGTGGATGAGCAGCTACCGGGGGCGAATCCGCCGCCGCCGCCGCCTCCGCCGACGCCGCCGCCGCCCGCCGCCGCCGCCGCGCCGCCGCCGCCGCCGCCGTGTCCGCCGCGCCGCCGCCACTGCGCCGCCCGCCGCCGCCGCGCCGCCGCCTTCGCCGCCGCCGCCGGCCCCGTGCCAATCGCCGCACGCGCAGCCGCTGCCGCCGCAAGCCGCGCCGCCACCGCTGCCGCCGCCGCCGCCGCGCCCCGCCGCGCCGCCGCCCCGCGCCGCCGCCACCGCCGCCACCGCCGCCGTCGCCACAGCCGCAGGCAGCCGCCGCCCGAAAACCGCTGCCGCCGCCGCCCCGCCGCCCCCGCCGCGCCGCGCCACCGCCGCCGCCCCGCCACCGCCGCAGCCGCGAAGCCGCTGCCCCCGCCTCAGCCGCCGTAGCCGGCCGCCGCCGCCAAGTGTACTTTGTATTGTTGTGTGCGAGGGATGGCGGGGGGAGGCCACCGCGCGCCCGCCGCCGCCGCCCCGCCGCTGCCGCCGCGCCGTCCAGCTGCCGAATCGCCGCCGACGGGGTGGCAGCCGCTGCCGTTGCCGCAGCCGCTGCCGTTGCAGCCGCTGCCGCCACCTCTGCCGCCGCCGTCGCCGCCGCCGACGCCCCCGCCGCCCCCGCCGCCGCCGCCACCGCCGCCACCGCCACCGCCGCAGCCGCCGCAGCCGCTGCCCCCGCCGCAGCCGCCGCAGCCGCCGCCACCGCCGCCGCCAACATGTGTACCTTGTTACCTAACAGCTCTTGCTGATAGGTTTCTAGTGGTGTCAAGAAAAAACATCTTGACGCCCCAGGGGTTCTGGGCGGGATCCGGAGAAGGGATCCGGCAGGATCCGGCAGCCACAGGAACCCTTAGGAATCCTTAGGAATCCATTCCCAGAACACCATTCCCAGGCCACATTTTGAATGCCCGGAGCCAACTGTAAGCCATTTCCTGTTCTTCGTGTTCCCAGAACACCATTCCCAGGCCACATTTTGAATGCCCGGAGCCAACTGTAGGTCACTTCGTGTTCTTCGCCTTCCCAGAACACCATTCCCAGGCCACATTTTGAATGCCCGGAGCCAACTGTAGGCCACGTCGTGTTCTTCGCCTTCCCAGAACACCATTCCCAGGCCACATTTTGAATGTCCGGAGCCAATTGTAGGCCACTTCGTGTTCTTCTTCCCAGAACACCATTCCCAGGCCACATTGAATGGGCCCGGAGACAATGTAGGCACTTCGTGTTTTTCGTGCTCCGGAACACCATTATGAGGAGGGCAGCTGAGGCTGAGGCAGGGTGAGGCTGAGGCTGAGGCAGGCTGATGCTGAGGCAGGCTGAGGCTGAGGCTGAGGCGGATGCAGGCTGAGGCTGAGGCAGGCTGAGGCTGAGGCCGAGGCTGAAGGCAGACTGAGGCTGAGGCTGAAGCAGGCTGAGGCTGAGGCTGAGGCAGGCTGAGGCTGAGGCTGAGGCAGGCTTAAGCTGAGGCAGGCTGAGGCTGAGGCTGAGGCTGATGCAGGCTGAGGCTGAGGCAGGCTGATGCTGAGGTGAGGCAGGCTGGCTGAGGCTGAGCAGGCTGAGGCTGAGCAGGCTGATGCAATCCAGGCTGAGGCTCGAGGCCGAGGCAAGCCGAGGCAGGTGAGGTGAGCAGCTGAGCTGGGCAGGCTGAGGCTGAGACAGGTGAGGATTGGGCTAAAGGCAGCCTGTGGGCTGAGCAGGCTGAGGCTGAGTCCGAAGCAGGATCGGTCGAGGAGGAGGCTGAGGCAGGCTGAGGCTGAGGCTGAGGCTTAGGCTGAGGCAGGCTGAGGCTGAGGCTGAGGCAGGCTGAGGCAGGCTGAGGCTGAGTCTGAGGCTGGTGCAGGCTGAGGCTGAGAGGCTGACGCTGAGGCTGAGGCAGGCTGAGGCTGAGGCCGAGGCAGGCTGAGGCTGAGGCTGAGGCGAGCCGAGGCAGGCTGAGGCTGAGGCTGAAGCTGAGGCAGGCTGAGGCTGAGGCAAGCTGCGGCTGAGGGCAGGCTGAGGTGAGGCGGTGGCTGGAGGCGGAGCAGGCTGAAGCTGAGGCAGGCTGAGCTGAGGCGAGGCAGGCTGAGGTGAGGGGGGCCTTCGGCTGAATGCAGGCTGCGGGATGAGATGCTGACGCTGGGCGAGGCAGGTGAGGCTGAGGCAAGCCGAGGCAGGCTGAGGCTGAGGCGATGGCAGCCGAGGCAGGCTGAGGCTGAGGCTGATGCTGACGCTGGCTGAGGCTGAGGCGGAGGCTGTGTCTGAGGCTGAGGCAAGCTGCGGCTGAGACAGGCTGAGGCTGAGGCAGGCTGAGGCTGAGGCTGAGGTTGAGGCAGGCCAATGCTGAGGCTGAGGCAGGCTGAGGCTGATGCTGAGGCCGAGGCAGGCTGAGGCTGAGGCCGAGGCAAGCCGAGGCAGGCTGAGGCTGAGGCTGAGGCTGATGCTGAGGCAGGCTGAGGCTGGGACAGGCTGAGGCTGAGGCTGAGGCAGGCTGAGGCTGAGGCCGAGGCAGGCGAATCCTTCGGAATCCTTCGGATTCCGTAGGAATCCTTGGGAACCCCTAGGAATCCTTAGGAATCAGGACTCCTAAGGTTTCCTAAGGATGCCTATGGATTCCTAAGGATGCCTAAGGATGCCTTAAGGATCCCCAGGAATCCTTAGGATTCCATTGGATCCTAAGGCCGTTGCCACTGCGACTGTCATTGCGAATGCGATTGCGACTGCGAGAACAGCAGAATTCTACACGTGGATTCTCACCTGAATCTTAAGGGGAATGCTTCCAGATATGCTTATACACATCGCTGTTAGGTTGCTTTGCCGGGAAAATATTGTTTTCGACACGGATGGTGGGGGGAGGCCGCATCGGGTTCTCTGCGCATGCTCCGAATTCTTTACGCTTCGCGTATCCCCACCAGCCCATCTCACAGCAGCAACTCTCGCGAAGCATGCCGACAGTCGTGTTTTTCAGGCGTGTGTCCGCTTGGCCCCGCATATCTCCCCTGTTCCTCCTTCCTCCCGCCTCCTTGTACATCCTCCTTGTGGTGGGAGCGGGAGAAGGACGAGGCGGAGGAGGAGGGAGAGGAAGCGCTCCTCGTGGTTTGAGTCGTTTGGGGTTTCTCGTCCTGGTGTGAGTCGTTCGGGCCCTTCTTCCTGGTGTGAGTCGTTCGGGCTCTTCGTGGTGTGAGTCGTTCGGGCTCTTCGTCCTGGTGTGAGTCGTTCGGGCTTCTCGTGGTGTGAGTTGTTCGGGCCCCTCATCTTGGTGTGAGTCGTTCGGGCCCCTCCTCCTGGTGTGACTCGTTCGGGCTCCTCGTGGTGTGAGTCCTTCGGGGCCCTCGTCGTGGTGTGAGTCGTTCGGGCTCCTCGTGGTGTGAGTCGTTCGGGCGCCTCGTCCTGGTGTGAGTCGTTCGGGCCCCTCCTTCTGGTGCGAGTCGTTCGGGCCCCTCGTTCGGAGTGAGTCGTTCCGGGCTCCTCGTGGGGCTCTTGGGGCCTTGAGCTCGTGGGGCCTCTTGGGGGCCTCTTGGGGGCCTCTTGGGGCCTCTCGGGGGATCTTGGAGGCGTCGTGGGCTCTTGGGGGCCTCTTGGGGGCCCTTGGGGGGCCTCTGGGCCCGTGGGGCCTCTTGGGGGCCTCTTGGGGCCTCTTGGGGGCTCTTGGGGCCGCTTGGGGGCCTCTGGGGGGGCCTCTTGGAGGTCTCTTGGGAGCCTCCTGGGACCTCTTGGGGCCATCTTGGCGGCCTCTTGCGGCCTCCTCTGAAGCGCGAAGGAGCGCTGCCCCCTGAAAATGACAAAATGAGGCCAACACCTTCGTAAAATCAGCGATTCTGCTATGGAGGAAGAGAAGCGCGGCCCCCTCAGGAGGCCAAAATGGAGCCACCACCTTAGTAAAATCAATGTTTGTGGCTTCAAAGAAGAGCAGAGGCGCCAAACTCGCCCCCCCCCCGTCGGGGCCAAAATCCTCGTGAGGGTAGTCGTTTTTTGGCCCTCCCAGGAGTCGAAAAAGACCCCCCTGAGAACACCCGGGACTCCCTGTCCAGGCCCAGGGGGAGGGGGTAGGGGGAGGGGTAGACCCCTCCCCGGAGGGGAAAGGGGGGGTTGAGGACAGAGAGAGCTCTCTAAACCACTCACGCCCAAAGGGCTGGTGGGATTCCCACGAAGCGTGTAAAAGGTGTGCCACCATGCGGGCGCTGCCATTGGGGCTCCAGGTATACCCCCCTCCTGTGGGGCGACGAAACGAGTGAGGGGTGTGCCGACATGGGGCGGGGCCGCCATGCGAACGTCGCCACTGGGGCCTTCGGTGGAGTTCCTTATAGGGGCCACCAAACGTGTGAGTGGTGTGCCGATATGGGCGGGGGGGGGGCGCATGCGAACGTCGCCGCGAAGCGCGTGAGAGGTGTGCCGAAACGGGAGAACGTCGCCGCTGGGGCGTTCGCTGGAGCTCCCTGTGGGGCCACGAAGCGCGGTATTGCGTGGAGTGGTCGCGTGCGAACGTCGCCAATGGGCATTCGGTGGAATTTCCGATGGGGCCACGCAGCGTTGTATTGGGTGGGGCGGTCGCATGCGAACGTCGCGTCGGTGGAGCTCCCTGTGGGGACTCGCAGGCCGTGGCAGGTTGCGGGCGGGCGCACTCGAAACGTCGCGACTGGGGCTTCGGTGAGCTCCATATGGTCCACGGCATATCCCATTACTGGGGGAGGGCGACGCATGGAACGGGCTTTCCTATGGGGCCACGAAGCGTTGTATGGGTGGCGCGGACGCATGCGATGAGTCGATTTTGGGGGGTCTCGGTGAGCTCACTTTGAGCGAAGAAGCGGTTGCCATTGGGTGAGGGCTGGCGCATGCGAGCGCGCCGCTGGGCCGATCAGTGGAGCTCGCAAAGGGGCCTCGAAGCGCTGTGCTGGTTGGGGCGGACGCATGCGAACTTCGCCACTGGGGCCTTCGGAGGAACTCCCCATGGGGCCATGGAGCGCCGTACTGGGTGGGGCGAGCGCATGTGAACGTTGCCGCCGCTGGGGCCTTCGGTGGAGCTCCCTGCGGGGCCACGAAGCGCTGTGCCGGTTGGGGCGGACGCATGCGAGCGCCGCCGCTGTGGCCTTAGGTGCAGCTCCCTATGGGGCCACGAAGTGCTGTTTTGGGTCGGGCTGGCGCATGCGAGCGTCACCACTTGGGTCTTCAGTGGAGCTCCCAATGGGGCCTCGAAGCGCTGTGCCGGGTGGGACGGACGCATGCGAACTTCGCCACTGGGGCCTTCGGTGGAGCTCCCTGCGGGGCCACGAAGCGCTGTGCTGGTTGGGGCGGACGCATGCGAACGCCGCTGCCGTGGCCTCAGGTGGAGCTTCCTGTTGAGCCACGAAGCGCTGTACTGGGTGGGGCGGGAGCTTGCGAACATTGCCGCTGGGGCCTTCGGTGGAGCTCCCTATGGGGCAAAGCGCTGTGCTGGGTGGGGCGGGCGCATGCGAACGCCGCCGCTGTGGCCTTAGGTGCAGCTCCCTATGGGGCCCCAAGGTGCTGTATTGGGTGGGGCGGGCGCATGCGGACGTCGCCACTGGGGCCTTCGGTGGAACTCCCTATGGGGCCAGGAAGCGCTGTGTTGGGTGGGGCGGGCGCATGCGAACGTCGCCACTGGGGCATTCGGTGGAGCTTTCTACGCGCTGTACTAGGTGGGGCGGACGCGTGCCAGCGTCGCCGCTGGGTCCGTCGGTGGAGCCCATGTGGGGCCACGAGGCGCTGTATTGGGTGGGGCGGGCGCGTGCGAACGTCGTCACTGGGGCGGGCGCTTGCGGACGTCGCCATTGGGGCCTTCGTTGGGGCTTCCTGTTGGGCCACGAAGCGCTGTATTGGGTGAGGCCGGCGCATGCAAACGTTGCCGTTGGGGCCTTCGGTGGAGCTCCCTATGGAGCCACGAACCGTTGTACTGGGCGGGGCGGACGCATGCGGACGTCGGGGAGGAAAGGAGAAGGAGGACGCGGGGCGCTGTCTCTTCAAAAGGAGGACCCGACACCACAGGATGGCCCGCCAGCCGGAGGCACCCGAATGACGATGCCAGCAATTGGAGGCCCCGTGGACGCCCCCAGAGGCCCAGAGAGGGCCGAAAACGTCAGAGAGGCCCAGAGAACCCCCGACCACTAACGACACCACGACCACCAACGACACCACAAACGACACCACCAACGACACCACCAACGACACCACGAGCACCAACGACACCACGACCACCAACGACACCACCAACGACACCACGACCACCAACGACGCTGCGACCACCAACGACACTGACGACGACGGCGACGACGACGACAACGACGACGACGACGATTTCGACGACGGCGGGGCGAGGGACGATCCGCCGCGAGCGCGGCGGGAGGCAGAGCCTCCCGCGCCTCGTGGGCGGATGCGCGGCGGGGCGCCCCCCTCGCCGCTGCCCTTCGGCGGCCGCTTCGGCGGCAGCTCCGGCGGCCGTCTCGGCGGCGGCTGCGGCGGCAGCGGGCGGCGGGCAACGGGCGGACGACGACGACGACGGCGACGGCGTCGACGCCGGCGCCAGCGCCGGCGCCGACGACGCCGACGACGACGACGACGGGCGGGCGGGGGGGGGGGCGCCGTGGGCGCCCGCAGGCGGAACGCCTCCTGGCCGAGCTGCAGCCCCTGGAGGCGCGGTTGCGCCGCAAGGTGGAGGTGCGGGCCCGCGCCGAGGCGCCGCCGTTCGGCGTCGGTCGCCAGTCGCCAGCCGTCGTCGCTCGGTGTCGGCGTCGGCGTCGCCGCGCCTACCTCCCCTATGCTTTTCAGTCAGCTCAGTCTGCCGTGCGTTGGCCATCTTTGCCTGCTCAGTCCTGGTAAGTCCTGGCACGCCCTGGCTTTATTTGTCACGCCTTGCTAAGATTTGGCTATGCTTTGCTAAGACATGCCCGCCCGTGCTAAGCTCTGCGAAGCTCTATTGGGCCCTGCCAAGGTCGGGTAAGTCTTGGTCAGCCCCGGCCAATCTACGCTAAGCTTCGCTCATCCCTGCTAAGCTTTGGTAAGCCTTATTGCGCCCTTATGAGCCCTGGTAAGCCCTAAGCCCGTGATGTACCTTGCCACGCTCTGCTCAGCCCTGGGAAGCTCTGCCAAGCCCTGCTGAGCCTTAGTGCGCCTTGGTACGCCTTGCTAAGGCCTGTTAAGGCTTGGTATGCACTGCTAAACCTTGCGAAGCCTTGCTAAGCCATGCTCATATTCGGCAAGCTTTGCTAAGCCGTGCTAAGCTTCAGAAAGCTTCAAGTCCTGCTGAGCTTCGCTGAGCCCTGCTAAGCCTGGCTAAGACTAGGTAAGCTTTGCTAAGCCCTACTGAGTCCTGCTAGGCACTGTTAAGCCCTGGCAAGCTCTGCAAAGCCCAGTTAACCCCTGGTAAGGTTTGCTATGCCCTGGCAGGCTCTGCTAAGCTCCGCAACGCTTGGTAAGCCTTGCTAAGCCTTGCTAAGCCCTGCTAAGCCTTGCGGAGCCTTGCTCAGCCGTTGCAAGCTTTGCTAAGTCCTGCTGCGCCTTGCGAAGTTTCTAGCCCTGCTGAGCGTTGCTGAACCCAGCCAAGCATTACTGCGACTTGCTGCGCCATGTTAGGCGGATGAGGAGGAGGATGAGGAGGAGGACCAGTGTAACCCCAAGGGGCATCACCGAAGTGCGGATAAACCCTCCGTTCAAGCTCCCTCTTCGTATGCCCCTACAACGGTTCATTGTTACTGAGGGAACTGCCTTGTTAGAAGACGACTGTGTGAAGACCATGAAGCACGCCAAAACGTTGTTCTCGGGATCCCAACGCCTCGCATCAACCTGACTGTTGCGTCTTGACGTTCCTGGATCGTGCCAGAACGCCATTCCTGGGACTTGAACAGCGAATCAACATAACTTGTGCACCCTCGTAAGCCAGAGTTTTTCCGAAACGTCAGTTCTGGTACGTTGATCATGGGAATCCATGAAACTCCTGCAAATGTTTACAACGAATGTGCGCGGCGCTCAGGCGAGAGCCGCAATCTGAAAACGACTCGTCCTCAGCCTGTGAAGCTCTCTCAAATGTTCAAGACGAGTGTGCGCGGCGCTAAGGCGAGAGCCACATTTTGAAAAGGAACCGCCATCAATCCGTGAAGCTCTTGCAAATGCTCACAAAAAATGTGCGCGGCGCCAAGGCGAGAGCCGCATTTTGAAAACGACTCGCCCTCAATGTGTGAAACTCTTGCATTTCTTAAACGAGTGTGCGCGGCGCTAAAGCGAGAGCCACATTTTGAAAATCACTCGCCCTCCATCTGCGAAGCTGTTGGCCAATATTCAAGCTTCAGAATCATAAATGGTGGGGAAGTATCAGGCGAAACGCCCGGCCCGCCCAACAGACTAACTTCGGGGTGCGACAGGGGGAAGTTGTTTATACGGAGAAGGAATGGAGGAGGAGGAGGAGGAGGAGGAGGAGGAGGAGGAGGAGGAGGAGGAGGAGGAGGAGGAGGAGGAGAAAAGGAAGAGGAGGATGATGATGATGATGAGGAGGAGGAGGAGGAGGAGGAGGGGAGCGAGCAGCAGCAGCACGGAGCCAAGGAGCCAAGGCGGGGAGGAGGAGGAGGAGGAGGAGGAGGAGGAGGCGCCTAGGGAGAGGAGGCCTAGGGGAGGAGGAGGAGGAGGAGGAGGAGGAGGAGGAGGAGGAGGAGGAGGAGGAGGAGGAGGAGGAGGAGGGTCACCTAGGGAGAGGAGGCATAAGGAAGGAGGAGGAGGAGGGAGCAGGAGGAGGAGGAGGAGGAGGAGGAGGAGGAGGACGAGGAGCCTAGAAGGAGGAGGAGGAGACCACCCTGAGCTTCCCCGATCCGGGGCGGCGTCGGAGAGCGCGCTCGGCTCTGGGCGAGGGGGCGCGTCGGCAGCACGCGGTGCACCCCGAGGCGCCGCTCTGCCGGGTCGGGGTGTGCGTTCGGGTCCTCCTCCTCCTCCTCCCCCTCCTCCTCTCCTCCTCCCTCTCCTCCCCAACCTATCACCTCCTCATACTCATCCTACTCGCCTCCTCCTCCTCCTCCGCCTCCTCCTCCTCCTCCTCCTCCTCCGCCTCCTCCTCCTCCTCCTCCTCCTCCTCCTCCGGTCCTTGCCTGCGCGGTCGAGGTCCCCTGAGGCCCGTTGAGGGCCTCAGCGAGGAGTCCCCCACGTCGGGCGTGCGAGAGCGGAGACCCCCGCGGCGAGGGGGAGCGCGGCCTGGACCTCCCCCGAACGAGCGGTCCAGGTCTGGGTCTTCCACGGGGAGTAGCGTGCAACTCGGCTCTAGCTGTGGCCTCCATGTCAGCCAAATGGTTGTCTTCAACACCGAGCTTGTTGTCCTGGGTGTCATCCGCTGGGCCCTTGGCGTGTGCCCTAACCTCGACGGCACGGGCAATTTCCTTCCCAGGGGATAGGTCCTAAAGCAAGGCCCAGGTGCACTCCCAGAGTTCAGCGTGCGGCCGTTTGGCCGAGCAACACCATTTGGGGGAGGGGATGGGGGATGAGCAGAGGGGATGGGGAGGGCAGGAGGGAGGGGGGCAGGGGGGGAGGATGCGCGAGCTGCCATCCGTGCTTCTCCGAGGAGGGGATGAGGGAGGCGGATGCGGAGGAGGACGACGGCGGTGGGAACAAGGACGAGGAGCAGGGGAATCGGCTGAGTGACTGAATGAATGAATGGATGGATTGATGGATGAATTTATCGATGGATGGATGAATGACTGGATGAGTGAACGGATGAATGGATGAATGATTTAATGAGTGGATGAATGGATGAATGGATAATGTGGGCGCGGAGATGTGGGATTCCCCACAGACGTTTTATTTCACGATCTGAGTGGCGACGGATGCGGGGTCATGTGAACGAGGAAGGAGCTGCGGCCACACATGCCCTGAGCAGTACCCGAAGAAGAATAATAAGAATAATAAGAAGAAGACTGAATGAATGAGTGAGTGAACGAATGAATGAATAAATGAGGGAGAGGAGGATGATGAGGAGGAGGAGGAGGGGAGTGCAGGAGACTGCCGTATGATCAACGCGCCATCTTCCCACGGCAGAAGGCCGAGGGCGCACTCTGCCTCTATAGCGTCGCCTGTTTTGCCTCGTTTTACTGCACCCTGCACTCTTGCCCCAGGCGCTGCTCGCCTGGGCCACACAGGATTGAGAGGTTATCGAAGGATTGCAAAAAACGAAGGATTGCAAAAAAAGGATTGCAAAAAAACGAAGGATTGCAAAACAACCTTCGTTTTTTTGCAATCCTTCGTTTTTTTGCAATCCTTTGTTTTTTTGCAATCCTTCGTAGCTGAAGGTGGGGTGCCAGAGTAAAACCAGGCGTTGCAGTTGTCTACTTGCCGCCTGGCGGGCGCGTGCTCTTAGCCCTTGGTGGCCTTCTCCTTTTTTCTTCCTTTTGCCCTGCCTAGCCTGCTGCGCCCGCTGGGTCCATTTTGTGGTCGCTCCGCCAAGTCGGCGTTGCTTCTATCTCACCCAGCAGCGCTCTAGGCTGCTGCCCCAGGTTTGCGCCACTTCACAAACGAGGAGGAGGAGGAGGAGGAGGAGGAGGAGGAGGAGGAGGAGGAGGAGGAGGAGGAGGAGGCCGAAGCCGCCGCGAAGCCCGCCGCCCCGCCGCGCCTCCGCACAGGATGCCCGCGCGCGCCTGCTGGCGGTGCTGCCCCCCGGGGCGCTGGCGGCGCACCCCGACGCGCTGCGGGCGGCACAGGACGCCCGCCGGTGCCGTCGGCGGTCCTCAGTCGGCGGTCGGCGGTTGTCAGGCGTCGGTCGTCGGGCGTCGGGCGTCGGCCTTCGGTCGTAGGGCATCGGTCGTCAGTCGTCGGGCGTCTTGTCGGTCGTCGGTCGTCGGTCGGCGGTCGGTGGTCGGCGGTCGGCGGTCGGCGGTAGGCGGTCGGCGGTTGTGGGGCGTCGGTCGTCGGTCGTGGAGCGTTGGTCGTAGGTCGTCCGTTGTCGGTCGTCGTCGGTCGTCGGCGTCCAGCGGCGGGCGTCGGTCGTCGGGCGTCGGTCGTCTGTCGTTGGGTGTCGGTCGTCGGGCGGCGGGCGTCCGGCGTTTGTTGGCGGTCGTCGGTCCTCGGTCGTCGGTCGGCGAGCGTTGGGCGTCGGGCGACGCGTAGGTCGTCCGGCGTTGGGCGTCTGTCGTCGGTCGTCGGGCGTCGTGCGGCGCGTCGGTCGTCGGTCGTCGGTCGTCGGTCGTCGGGCGTCGGGCCTCGGTCGTCTGTGGTAGGCCGTCGGTCGTCAGTTGTCGGGCGTCGGGCGTCGGTCGGCGGTCGTTGGGCGTCGGGCGACGCGTCGTCGGTCTTTGGTCGTCGGGCGTCGGTTGTCGGTCGTCGATTGTCGGGCGTCTGAGGTCGGTCGTCGGTCGTCGTGCGATGGTCGGCTGGCGTCCGGTTTTGTTCGACTGGCGTCGGGCGACGCGTCGGTCGGCGGACGTTGGGCGTCGGGCGACGCGTCGGTCGGCGGTCGTCGGGCGTCGGGCGTTGGTCGTCGGTCGTCGGGCGTCGGGCGTCGGTCGTCGGTCGTCCGTCGTCGGTCGTTCGTCGTCTGTAGTCGGGCGTTGGACGTCTGTCGTCGTCTGTAGTCGAGCCTCGGGCGGCGCGTCGGTCGGCGGTCGTCAGCCGTCGGGTGTCGGGCGTCGGTCGTCGGGCGTCGGGCGTCTTTCGTCGGGCGTCTGGCGTTGGGCGTCGGGCGTCGGACGTCGGGCGTCGCTCGTCGGTCGTCGGGCGTCGGTCGCAGAGCGTCGGGCGTCAGGCATCGGTCGTCGGTCGTCGGGCATCGGGCGTCCGTTGTCGGTCGTCGGTCGTCGGGCGCCGGTCGTTGGTCGGCGGGCGTCGGGCGTCGGTCGTCGGTCGTCGGTCGTTGTTCGTCGGTCGTCGGGGTTCGGGCGTCGGTCGTCGGTCGTTGGGCGTAGGGCGACGCGGCGTCAGTCATTGCTCGGCGGTAGTCTGGGGTCGGTCGTCGGGCGTCGGGCGTCGGGTGGCGCTTCGGGCGCTGGTCGGCGGTTGGCGGTTGTCGGGCGGCGGTCGTCGGTCGTGAGGCATCGGTCAGCGGGTGTTGGGCGACGCGTCGGTCGTTGGTCGTGGGTTGTCGGTCGTCGGTCGTCGGTCTCAGGGCATCGGTCGTCGGGCGTCGGGCGACGCGTCGGTCGTCGGTCGTCGGGTGTCGGTCGTCGGTCGTCGGTCGTCGGGCGCCGGTCGTCGGGCGTCGGTCGTCGGTAGTCGTGCCTCGGTTGTCGGTCGTCGGTCGTCGGTCGTCGGGCGTCGGTCGTCCGTCGTCGGTCGTCGGTCGTCGGGCGTCGGGCGACGCGTCGTCGGTCGGCGTCGGGAGGTCGGCGGTCGGCGGTTGTCGCTCGTCGGTCGTCGGGGGTCAGGAGTCCGTCGTCGATCGTCGGTCGTCGGGCGTCGGTCGTCGGGCGTCGGGCGTCGGGCGACGTGACGGTCGTCGGTCGTCGGGCTTCGGGCGACGCCTCGGTCGGCGGTCGTCGGACGGCGGGCGTCGGTCGCCGCTCGTCGTTTGTCGGGCACCGGGCGTTTGGCGTCGGTCGTCCGTCGTCGGGCGTCGGTCGTTGGTCGCTGGGCGCCGGGCGACGCGTCGGTCGTCGGTCGGCGGGCGTCGGGCGTCGGTCGTCGGTCGTCGGGCGTCGGGCGTCGGTTGTCGGTCGTTGGTCGTCCGCTGTCTTGCGTCGGGCGTTGGGCGGCGTCGGTCGTCGGGCGTCAGGCGACGCGGCGACGCGTCGGTCGGCGGTCGTCGGGCGTCGGTCGTCGGTGGGCGGGCGTCGGGCGTCGGGCGTCTGTCGTCTGTCGTCGGTCGTTGGTCGTCGGTCGTCGGTCGTCGGGTGTCTGTCGTCGGTCGTCGGTCGTATGGCGTCGGTCGTTGGTGGTCGGGCGTTCGTCGTCGGTCGTCCGTCGGCGGTCGTCGGGCGTCGTGGTCGTCGGTCGTCGTCGTAGTCGTCGTCGTCGTCGGTCGTCGTCGGCGTCGTCGTCGTTGTCGTCGTCGTCGGCGTCGTCGTCGGTCGTCGTTGGTCTTGGTGTAGGAGGAGGAGGAGGAGGAGGAGGAAGAGGAGGAGGAGGAGGAGGGGGAGTAGGAGGAGGGGGAGGAGGAGGAGAACGAGGAGGAGGAGGAGGAGGAGGAGGAGCATGAGGAGGAGGAAGAGGATGATGATGAGGAGGAGGATTGCAGAGTAATGCTGATGCCTTTAAGGGTAGGCATAACCCTGTGTGTCGGTTGGGGCGCTTGGGCTCACCCACCCTATTGAGGCGGTGCTCATGTGGATTGGGGAAGTCCCACCTTCCGTCAAACGGTACCACGTACCGTGCGACGCACCTGCATGTAGTGGCTCGTACGCGCCTGCCGCAAATCTTTAGCAGACGCCTGTGCCAGCTCAATGTGGAAGGCACAACCACCGACGGCCATGTCCTGGTGACAACGGGGTCTCGCAGGAAACGTCCCCGCGGGCAGCCACGCTCCGCTTTAGACCGTGTGGGCAGGAGGGGGGTGAAGGGGGAGGGGACAAGGGTCATGTCCAAAGCAGGGTGGTAGACGATGACCAGCAAGAGACAATGGTGGCTCAGCTTGCTGATGGGAAGCGAGGGGATTCCGAGTGAGATAAAGGAAGGAGATGGGGAGGGAGGGAGGGGGAGGGGAGGAGGAAGAAAGGGGTAGAAGGGGGGAGGGGAGGGACGAACGAGGAGGAATCGGAGAGGAAGGGAGAAGACAGGAACGCCAGGGACTGGCGGAAAATAGAGGGGTAAAGGGATATGAGGTGAGGCGTATGAGTGTGCAGGACTACCAGCCTTGCCGCCGGGTGCGTCCTTGAGGCAACTGCCTCGCCACTGGGGCAAGGTGCAGAATCTCAAGATGCACGCAACCCGGCCTCGCCGCCAGGGGGCGGCGAAACAGGGAGGGGGGGGGGAGGGATATGAGGAAATGCGCGAAAGCGTGCAGGGCTACCGGCCCTGTCGCCGGGTGCGTCCTTGAGGCAATTGCCTCGCGACGGGGTCAATCGTGCAGCATCTAAGGATGCACGAATCCCGGTCTTGCCGCCAGGGAGCGGCGGAATGAGGAGGGGGATGAGGGGGACACGTAAGAGTATGCAGGACTTCAGGCCTTTCCGCCGGGTGCGTCCTTGAGGCAACTGCCTCGCGACTGGGGCCAGCGTGCAGGATCTGAGGATGTGCGAAGCCCAGTCTTGCCGCCAGGAGTGGCGGAATATGGAGGGGGAGGAGGGGGGATGGGCGGAGACGAAAGAGTGTGCAGGACTACCGGCCTTGCCGCCGGATGCGTCCTTGAGGCAACTGCCTCGCGACAGTGGCGTGCGTGCAGAATCTGACGATGCACACAACCCGGCGTTGCCACTAGGGAGCGTCGGATGATGGAGGGGGAGACATGCGATGGGGGGGGAATATATGAGTGTGCAGGACTACCGGCCTTGCCGCCGGGTGCGTCGTTGAGGCAACTGCCTCGTGACGGGGGCGATCAGGACTACCGGCCATGCCGCCAGGTGCGTCCTCGAGGCGACTGCCTCGCGACTGGGGCGAACAGGACTACCAGCCTTGCCGCCGGGTGCGTCCTTGAGGCAACTGCCTCGCCACTGGGGCAAGGTGCAGAATCTCAAGATGCACGCAACCCGGCCTCGCCGCCAGGGGGCGGCGAAACAGGGAGGGGGGGGAGGGATATGAGGAAATGCGCGAAAGCGCGCGGGGGGTTACCGGCCCTGTCGCCGGGAGCGTCCTTGAGGCACTTGCCTCGCGACTGGGGCCAGCGTGCAGGATCTGAGGATGCACGAAGCCCGGTCTTGCCGCCAGGGAGCGGCGGAATGTGGAGGGGGAGGGGGAGGGGGGATGAGGGAGTTACGAAAGAGTGTGCAGGATTACCGGCCTTTCCGCCGGGAGCGTCCTTGAGGCACTTGCCTCGCGACTGGGGCCAGCGTGCAGGATCTGAGGATGCACGAAGCCCGGTCTTGCTGCCAGGGAGTGGCGGAAGATGGAGGGGGAGGAAGGGGGATGGGCGGAGACGAAAAAGTGTACAGGATTACCGGCCTTGCCGCCGGGTGCGTCCTTGAGGCGACTGCCTCGCGACAGAGGCGTGCGTCCGACCTCTGTTGAGACCGAGGTATCAGGGACCTCATATGCTGGTGTCGCCCCAGCTGCCTAAACCCTGGGGCGTTGGACAGGTGCTCGTCGGGCTTGCGCCATGCGGCGCACGCCTTCACCAGCGCCCCATGCGTCCTGAGCAACATTCACCCCATGGGCCGCGGGAGCCTTCGGGGAGGAGGAGAAGGAAGAGGAGGAGGAGGAGGAGGAGGAGGAGGAGGAGGAGGACGAGGAGGAGGAGGAGGACGAGGAGGAGGAGGATATTGGGAAGAGGCAGGAGGAAGAGGCAGGAGGAGGAGGACGAGGAGGAGGAGGATGAGGAGGAGGAGGAGGGGGAGGAGGATGACGACTCCAGGAAGACGAGGACGAGGTTAAGGAGCAGGAGGAGGACCAGGGTAAACCGAATATGCAGGAATGATGCTGCAACACGCCATCCCGTCCCAAGGCCCTCTTCTGTATGTCTGTATTTTGAAAAGGAGCCGCCCTTAATCCGTGCGACTGTTGTGCAATGTAGAGTTTCGGGTTGTAGAATTGTAGCAGGAGGTGAGCACACCGAGATACCATTGTGGAAGAAGACGACAACGTAGTCGTAGATATCCCGGTCCTACTCGAACACCATGCCAGAGTGGCCTGTGGGGCCACGAAAAGTGGGAGCAGACAGCCCAGCGAGAAGAAAACCTGCTCGAGAAGCAGCAATTGAAGACGCCACAGCCGCATCTGAAAAAATGGTATGTATGGAAGCGATCATCTTGACCCTGAAGACAAAAATGGTATGTGTGAAAACGATCATCTTGTAATCAGAGCTGATGTGGGCCCTCGTCAGCGTACTGTACATCGCTTCGTAGACGAAAATGTGTGTGAAACTCCATGCCAGCGCCTCCCGCCCCAGCAGGTGGACAGGAGGAGCCGGCTGTGTTCTCGCCAGGCTTGTGTCCCCTCTCCCTGGAAGGATGGGAGAGGGGAGAGTGCTCCGCAGGCCGCCGAGCTTCCTTTGCACAATACCCGGCGTCTCGGCGCTCAGCAGCGACGTTCACCTCCTCTCCCTCAATCTCGTCCATAGATCGGCCTCTGACTTGGACTGGGCCGTCCTCTTGACCTCAATCTTGAGCTGGCAGTCCGGGTGTGCAGTCACAGCAACCAAAAGCATGAACTTCTGCTTAATATCATCTAGAAATACACGTGCTGGTTCATCACTGTGCAGTTCCGTGACGCACACCACATCGTATGATCGCTGTCGTGCTTCCTGCAGCAAAGTTTGCAATTTGTCACGATGATCCAACAACCGCCAATTCAAGCCTTGGACGTTCTGTACTGCAATACGAATTTTCGAAGAAGAGTGTAAACGCTGCTGAGCCCCTCGACGCCAAGTATGTCTGTGTCGATTGGCCTGCCTGTGTGCACCAGCAAAACACCAGCCAGATTGACGTGTGATTGTCGTACACCCAGCACCTTGTCCAGCATTTCGTTCGGCCCGAAGGCCTGGGCTCGAGGCTGCCCCTGTGATGCAATCCTCTCACCCTCCAAGCCTCCACGTGGGAGGCGTCTTTCATCTTTAGCCTCGCTCATACTCGCGCCCCCGTAGGGGCGGTCTCGTAAGACAAGAAATGCATGAGAAGTGCCTCTCCCCAACCGCCCGGCTCTGCCTTGTCCATCGTGTCCGTCTGCCGGAAGAGGTAGACGTACTGGGAAGGCTGTAGAAGTGGAGGAAGTCGCAAGCGAGGGCCGCATCTTGAAGACCAACTGGCTTCCATCCTGATGATTGTTGCACGCTCCTAATTTAGTTAGATGTGCGTGGCGCTAAAGCGAGAGCCCAAATTCGGACAAACAACCTCCATCGCTGTAACTCTTCCAAGACGAAACATGTGCGCGGCGGTGTGACAGGAGACAAACTTGGAAAACTACCAGCCATCCATCCGTGTGACTGTTTCTCTCCTGCGCTCCATACCTATTCCATTATATCGCTCGTTGGCCCAGGTATGCCGCGCGCCTGATCGATGGTAAACTTGTCGTGTGGTAGTTTCTCCTGTGCCATCTCCGCGTCGGGCTGTCTGGGGGCCGTTTTGGGGATCGGAAATTGGATGGACGCAGCCAGGCGGCAGAATGGCGGAGGCCTCTTGTGTGTGGGGGCTGGCTAAACCTTGTAAGGAACTTTCAGAAAGGAGTCTCACACGCCCCTCAGCCCAGGGGTTATATAGATGTGTGTTCCCTGTTCAGAGCAGGAGGCCATATATAGCCAGAGCGCAGCCCGAAACCAGCCAAAGACGGCCTTAAAACTCCCAACCTACACTCGCAAGGGCGGAGGTGTGCTCAGGGACGGGCCCAACAAGGGGGCGAGAAGGGCCCGAAGCTACCCAGGCGGGCTTGTGGACGGCCCAAGCGACAGCACGGCGCTCCCCTGCCGAGTCTAGAATGTGCTGGCGGATGGACATCCTGGCCCCCTTCTTCCTTTGGTTTCTCGTCTCCGCCAGAGCTGCTCGATCGCCCGCGCAATCCCGATTCGCGCAGGAGGGGTCGCCGCTGCTTGGCCCGAGCGTCGACGCAAATCTGTATACTGCATGGGGAGTAAAAGCTCCGCAGTCGACATCTGATTGCAGCCATGCTTTCCCTCGTGCAGCTTCCAGCCCCCGCAATTCTACCTCCTCCTCCTCCTCCTCCTCCTCCTCCTCCTCCCTCCTCCTCCTCCTCCTCCTCCTTCCTCCTCCTCCTCCTCCTCCACCTCCTCCTCCTCCTCCTCCTCCTCCTCCTCCCTCCTCTTCTGCTCCCCTCCCTCACCCCAAGCTGCCCAGGACATGATCGCCGATGGCGCGCCGGCCCCGGAGGGGTTGGCCGCGCTGGCCGAGGAAGCTGCTAGCCTGGACGCGGCGGCGATCTACGGCGCCAAAATGGCGGGGTGGGGGCTGTTGAAGGGGGGGGGGCCCTCATCCTTCTCCTCCTCCTCCTTCCTCCCCCCCCGCTCCCTCTTATTATCCTCCTTCTCTCCTCCTTCCCTCCTCCGCCTATTCCTTTTCCTCCTCCTCCTCTTCCTTTTCCTCCTCCTCCTCCTCGTCCTCCTCCTCCTCCTCATCATGCATTTGATCCTCGCCCCCTCTCCGGCCGCAGCTTGCAAGGGGAAGGGGTGGCCCGGCCGGCCCGCGCGCGCCCCTGCCGCGATCCGCCGCTGCTGGCCCCGGGCCCCGCGGCGCTTGGCGCCGGCGCTCGCTGGCCCCCCAGGAGGACCTCCCTTCTCCCTCTTTCCTCCGCCGCCCGACTGCTCAGGCATGTCAGACGGCGCCCCCGAGCCGGTCGAGGAGCCCCTCGACGGAGAGGAGTTCCGAGGGCCGCCACGGGAGTTGGACACTGCCACCTTTCGAGTCGATTACGCGCGCCTCGAGCTCGACCTCGTGAGCGGCGCCGTGCCCGTCGTCTCCGTTGCCTTGGATCCCGAAGTGCTCACGCTAGCACTTCCTGCAGAGGTTGCGCCTTGGTTGCCCAGCGCGCTGCAACCCCTGGCCGACCCCACCTCTTTCGCGCCCGCATCCGACGGACAATGCGTCGCAATCGCTTTGGTCCGTATGGCACCTGCAGCCTTTTTCGTCCTTCGCGATGCCGCAGGTGCCCAGTGGGAGCCTGGGGGTCGTTGGCCTGCTGCGGAGGGCATCGACACCCACCCCCACCAGGACTACGTGGCAGCCCCGCCAGACGGCGCCCCGATGGTCATCGACTTGTCCGTAGCGTTGCCCCCCGCCGCGCTGTCCATCGGCCCGACCGATCTCGACGCAGGCCTCGGTGGCGCGCTTTTCAGCGGCCCTTGGGGCGGGTACCGTGCGCTGGCCCACCCTCCTGCGGAGTCCGACCCGCCTGGCCCGGTCTCGAGCGGCGCGGACCGGCCGCGTTCTGCGCCGACGTTGTTCGCTCGCCCAGGTGCCCAGCAGGCCTTGCGCCGCAGCCAGGCGCCAGCGCCAGGTGCTCCGCCAGGGCTTCCACCAAGCAGCGCTGTCCTCGGAAGTTCCGCGAAGCCGTCAGGTCTGCGCGCCGCGCTGGCAGGCGAGCTCGGCGCCAGACGCGCCGCCCCTGTCGCAGGAGGCCCACCCCCGAATCGAATCGCATACATGTACGCGCTCTTCCAGACACATTTCGAGCAGGCTGCTGCATCGCAGGCCCAGCTGGAGGCGCGGCTGATGGCTGTCGAGGGTCAGCGAGCTCCCACTGGCTTCTGCGACGGAGGGCCGAGCCCCTTCGATGTAGACTTCGGCGAGGCAGCGCCCACCTTCCCGACGCTGCCGCCGCCGTTGCCGCCCCCTCTGGAGGCTCCGCCTCCGCCGCCGCGAGGGGTGCAGCAGCTCCTCGGCGTGGCCGGCGCTCCTCCGCCTCGCGCCGCGGTGCCGGTGCTCTCGCAAGGGGAAGTGGCCGGCCTTGTGCGGGGAGCCCCACCTGTCCGCGGGGCCCCTCCGGGAGCTACCGCCTGGCATCTTTCGGGGCCCAGCTGGGCGTGCCGGGGCATGCGCCGTCGGCGCTTTCCCCTCCCTTGGGGGCGTTCTCGCTTGGTGCGCCGGCGCAGCCGCCCCCAGCCATGAGGCCGCCCTCGTTGGCGATGGCCTCAGCTCCGCCGACGCCCCAAGACAGTCTGTTAGCATAGCAGAGATGTATTCCGATCACCACGGCATCCCAGTCACCGTCGTAACCGACGCCATGGTTCGGGAGAGTTCGATTGGCCTGCAGGGCTTGTTGGCTCGGGCCCAGGTGGCCCAGGCCTCGCAGACGGCAACGCCGCAGTTCGCGAATCTTTCCGACCCGTCCGAGCTACGCATGGCCGACTCCGTGCTGCAAGCACTGCATGCGAACACGGATCTCATGCGCCGCATGCATTCGATGCAGCAGAGTGCGGATCAGATGTCCCTTCTCGCAGGCTCTTCTGGGGACGAACGCGGCTTGCTGAAAATCCCCGGGGCCAGAGGGTCAGCGGTTCAGGAATTTTTCCGGCGCGATTTCGCCAGGAACCCGGGGCTCTATGCGTCGAAGGTCCGCGCCAACATCCGCGCCGCCACCGGCGACGTGCCGTGGTCGCAAGGCGAATCGCGGCGCGCCTCGGCGTGCGAGTTCCTGGCAGAGCAGGTCCCGTTTCCACAGGGAGCTCGCACTCTCATCCACTTCTCGTTCGGGATCGCACGGGCGTTCGATCAGATGACGTCGGGGAAATGGCACGAGGCCGAGGACGCCCTCGCGAAGTTGTTGGTTTTCTCCGAGCAGACCGCCCGCGACGGGGGGGACATGCGTCTGTCGTGGCTTCTCGCGCATGTGCCGGAGCCCCCCTGGTCTCGGCTGCTGCGGCCCGAGAACCAGGGCCCGCAGCGGGATTTCGCCCAACTCAGCGAGAAGGGATGGGTGGCCGCAGCGATAGGATTCCTGAAGGACGCCGAGGCTGTCAAAACCATGATGGGGCAGCAACAAACGCCCGCCACCTGCGGGCCCCAACAGCCCGACGCCTACGAAGAAGCAGGGGCTCCAGAAGGCCCCCAAAACGAAGGCGTAAAATCGGCGCGCGGGAGTGGGAGGCCGTCGTTGCCTCATAGTGGTTTCCCTGCCTCCGCGCCCGGTCCGCCGCCGCCGGAGACCCTTCCTTCGCCCTTGCCTCTTCCTGCGCCCCGGTCTCAGCGTCGGCACTTTGGCCCCTCCTCCTCTCCTCTGCCTGATCCTGCAACTGCTGCTGCGCACCGGGGGCTCCACTGCGCCCCCAGTTTTGGCTGGGCGCGCTCGCTGCCTCGCGGGGTTGCCTCCCTGTCTGGGGCTTTCCCGTGCTACCTTCGCACTGCTTTCCCAGACCCCCGACGTCGTGATTTTTTCACGACGTCGACCCCCAGAGGTCCGGACCCCTTCCCCGGGACCGGTTCTTCGTCCTGAATCGCTTTTTGACGCTCCCGAGGCCCGGTGAGGGCCCCCGGAGGCCGAAAATTGCGAAAAACCTCCCGTCGTGATTTTTTCACGACGCGAGGAGGTCTGGGTTTGAAGGTTTCGAGCCTCAGGGGTTCACCCTTCTCTGCTGCGTGCGTTTGGCCCTGCCCGCCCCCCTTCGGGTGGGAAGGTGGCTCTCTCTCGCTCTCCGGCCGGCGGGCCGCCCGCGCGCTTCGCGCGGCTGCCGCGCGCTGTGGAGTGAACCTCCTCGTCATCGCGTTGTCGCGCCTCTCCCTGAGCGGTGCGCGCCGTTGTCCCTGTCGCCGGGGCTCCTCATGGAGCCTGTCGCCCACCCCCAGCGGGGATGGTTGCTCGCGAGTTCCGGTTTGATCGTGCTCAGTTTATGGCTAACCCACTCCTGTCTCCCAGACCTCCTGGCGTCGTGAAAAAATCACGGCGGGAGGTTTTTCGCAATTTTCGGTTTCTGTGGGCCCTCACCAGGCCTCGGGAGCGTCAAAAAACGACTCAGGACGAAGAACCGGTCCCGGGGAAGGGGTCCGGACCTCTGGGGGTCGACGTTGTGAAAAAATCACGACGTCGGAGGTCTGGGCTGGTGACTGCACAGGACATCTGCTGGCGTTCGGGGCCGCCTGCCTGGTGGAACCACGCCTCCTGCAGTTGGGGCAGGGCCGCGTTGGCCCTGTCTCCGCCCCGCCTGCCCGGCGTGACCCCTTTGCGTTGAAACACGTTCGATCCGGGGGAAGCGTCGGATCGCTACGCCCACATCGCAGTCGCCAACTCGGCTGCTGTCGACCGTGTCGTGCCCGATCGTCGTAGGCGGAACGCGCGGGGATATCATCTTCGAGGTGCTTCGCAGCACATGCCGTCAGGTGTGCTCCTCCTCGATTTCGAAATCCTACCCGGCTTCGAAATGCGCATTTGCGGTGATGATATTTCCGATATGTTCCCTTCTTTGGATGTCCCGTTCGATCGTGCTTGCACGAATGCCGTTGCGCTCAAAGCGTCGCTTCATGATTCTGCTGGCACGCGCGCGCATCAGGTCTTCTGTGCTCGAGCGCGCGCTGCGGGCATCGCAGTAGATGGAGACACGGCCGTCGTCCCTTGCAACGGTTCCCTTGTCATGGGGGACATTAACGCAGTTGATTTTTGCATGGGGGCCCACGAGCCATTTTGTCAGATACTGGTCGTGCATTCCTCCCCGAGTGGCAGGTGCGCGGTCGCGAGCCTTTCCCGGCGTCGGACCACGTCGAGGCAGTCGTCGTGGATAATCGCGTATCCCTGTCCTTGGTCCCTCGTGGCCGGCGCAGTCCCCATGCTGCAGCTGCCGCGCCCTTCCGCGCAGGCGGGGAAGCGCTTCGCCAGGCTGGCCTGGGCGTCCACCCCAGCAAGTCGATTAGGAACGCCTTGCGTGCCAATCCGCTCGGCCTGGAACTCGACGGCTGCTCCGGCCTGGCCGGAGCAGAACGCCCCCGCAGGCGCCATTTGGCGCAGATATCCTTGACGCAGGCTCGCTGCGGCACCTGGTCTGGCGCGATGCGCCGCATGGTCGCTAGCAGTTGGGCTTTCTGCGCGGAAGCGCGTCGCGATCGTTTGTACAAGATGCAAGGTTCCGTCCAAGACGACCCCTCCGTAGTGCCCATAACCCCTGGCGAGTCGTCGGAGCTTGCCCTCCTTTCAGTTCTGGCCCCCGTCATGGTAGCAGACATGCGAATGCCACACAGCTCGCGCGCTCTGTTTTCTGACGCGTCTGATTCAGTCATTGCCGTCTGCGATGCACCAGTGGCCCCAGAGGTCCACCGGGAGCTTTGGCGTTTTCGGGACCGCCGTGGCCAGTACACGCGCGTCTCGGAGGGCTTCTTGGCATTCTGCGACCGCCGCGAGCTCGATGATGCGGAGGAGGTCCATGACAGCTTTTGCCAAAGTAATTTCAGCGACCTGCCTCGCACTCTGATCGAAACATTTGATTTCATCGAAATTTATTGTGGGCAGAATGCCC